ACTACAAACACCGAGGTCAAACAAAATATTTGTAAAAGATTTTTTCCTCCACGTTGGCTATGAAATCACCTTGACCAAGGCATTCTTGACAGGACACTCTGGGCCAAGAGCCTGTTCCCTCCTGGGAAGGTGACACAGTGAACGCTGGTGATGGGACAACACTCAGCATGATCCCATCTTTATAGTTTGGGGATATTCCTAACAGTTAGAAAAGCTCTGAAATGAAATCAGGCCAGTGTTCAAGCAAAACCATACCCAGGAGTCAAAAGGAATAATTAAAGGAATGAATGTTTTATTCTTTAGTGTTTAATAGAATACATAACAAGTCACATAATCAATGATTCATTACACACAGAGAAAGGAAAAGAGTATCGAGTATTTCCGTTATACAACTGGTTGTGAAGAGGAAAAACCAAAATCTCCAGAGTATTAAGATAGTTGAAAATAATTCTCACTTAATATTTGGGCAGATCTGAAATTACATCATCAGCATTTTTTAAAAAAAAAATTAGAGAAATTCTTTTTTCTTGGCTTTCTGCTTTATTGGAAATGTAGGAAGTCTTATATAGATGTTCTTCTCTTTTGATAAAATGGCCCAGTTATAGGTATTTCTTAGTATATAACATTTTTAATTAGCTTCATAATTCCAGATAGCTCTGTGGGAACTTACACTGCTCAGTATGTAAGATTTTTCACACATCTAGGATTTTAAATAACATAAATTTTACATCTCCAAATTACATCTGTGCTGGATGCTTTAACACTTAGTTATTAAAAGATTATTAGTGCTGTTTAAGTGGCTGTATATTAATTGTCATCATTTGTAATAGTAACAGCAAAATTCACCTACCTACAAAGTCACAAAAACAGTTGTATAATAGTTTACATTACAATTAAGTTCACATAGCTCAAAACATTTAAAAATTTTTTTAAAAATTACTTGGGAGAAAAAAACTCACAAAACGTATAATATGGTAAGCATTCTTGATCAACTAAGCTGTTTTCTGTTTTCCTACCACACAGATTAATAGATATTCAAGTTGGATTCTTCCATCTAAGTCTCAAGAACCCCAGCAGAGAATCTAAAACTTCAAATGCTAATACTTCTAGGTTTTTATTGCCCAAAATTAGGACAAAGAAAAGTTAATTCACCGTAACTTGCTTCTGGCTCTAGAAACCCTATTTTAGGTACTATGAATAATGGAAATACAAGAGTAGTTATTCATTTATTTCTCAAGATAAAGACTTATATCATCTAAAAGAAAACTAATTCAGTTTTAAAATGAGCTATAATATTTTTTAAGAAAAGAATTTACTCTGGTGGTTAACAATAAAGATATTCTGTTTACTATTTTGAAATTTTTAATTGAATAAAATATGATTTAGTCTACAAAAGAAATTCTTAAGGAATCCAACCCCCTAGTCAATACTTTTCCAAATGATTGCACAATAGCTGAATATTTTTCATGTGGTATATAAAACTGTTTTGAATATTAGAGTAGAATTACCATACTTTTAAAAGTAAAAAAATTATCAAAGTTTCGCCTTACATGGTTCTATGTAATAACATTCCATGGAAACTTCTGTTAAAAATTGAAATATATCATGAGCATGGCCAGTTGCCCATTTTGTCTGAGTAGTTACAGATTTTCCATTTCTCAAGGAAGCAACAGGCTCCATTACATATACAGATCTGCTTTGCAAGAGAAGACCATTTGGCTAATATTGCAAATTAAGACTGTGCTATTAATGTAAGAAACCCAGCAATTTAGAATAAAGACAGCACTAAAAGGGGAAAAGTATGTGAGGTCTCTCTCACACTTCCAAGGAATATTTTTCATAGTAATTTTAAAAAACAGAATGAATATGATTCAATCTACCAGTATTTGAAAAAAAAAAAGGCAACTTGATACTTGCCTCAAGAGTTTTAAACATGGAAACTGTTGTTTTAGCCTTCTCTGTCAAATCTTATTTTAAAAAGTTCAATTTAGGAAATCAAATGTCCCTCAGCTATAGTTATAAGCCAATGCTGATTGGAGCCATGACATATGTAAATCCATGCTCACTGAGGCAGGTTAATGCAGTCACCCTATCTGAAGATTATGAAGTTCTTACAAGTCCTTCACTGGTTAACTCTAATACACCCTACAGAGCCCATGCAGGCTTATCGGTAGCAACCAAAGCTCCAGTCTACTGTCCAGACAATCAGCCACAGGTCCTGTGTTCCAAAGCTCACAGACAGGACAGGACCCAAGAAGGCCATGTCAAGTCATCTGACCTCATAATATACACTCAGTGTACAATGAGATTCCTACAAAGCCTCGAATGTGAAAGAGGCAGGGGGAGAACTGCGCATGGGCCTTGGGGTGAGGAAGAAGTGTTCACCCAACACCATGAAACAGCTCAACTCAAAGTTTTCCGAGATAAAATTCCTAAGACTTTCATGGCAAAGAGAATTCGAGCCGTTTGCCACGGTTCCTGCAGTTTTGCAGATTTACTGAGGAACCTCTCAGCATCCTGCCATCTGTCAGTGGTTTTGATCGATCCTGACATGGTCTCTCAGTTTTGCGCTTTTTGTCATGCAACCTAACTGAGAGCCACACAGGGCTGAGAAATACCCGTGACAGGCACTTTTGGCCAGTGAGCAACATTACCAAGTCATTTCAGGCTTGAGGCAGAGATAAACTACTCGGAGAACACACCCAACATGGCAAGCAAACACAGCTTCCTGGGTTTCAGCTTCTGTTTCCCTCATAACTGCAGCCCATTGTATATTAACCTAACTTCACTTTTCCAAAAAGGAACTCCAATTAAACACTTCCAGTGATTTTCCCAATTCAAAAGAATTAGTGGATCAAAAGTACAGGTACCTTAATTTTGAATACTAAATTACTATATAACATCAAATCAAAAAAGTATGTATGTTCTCCTAACCCAATTTCCCCACACACAAGGATGTAAGAAACTCAACAAAACATGTTGCTTTAGTATATACACCATCTGATGCAAGTTACTGGGGGGCAAATATAGGAAACTTTATAGCATTAGTAAATGAATTAAAAAACTAAATGATTTGTGTAAAATGTTTATATATGGTATATACAGATTGGACTGCATGAATCTAAGCATAAAACTGTTCCAATTCTTAACATCTCTTGTGGACAGTAAGACATAGTACAAGATTCATTATTAAAAAGGATACATAGCACTAATTTAAACGCTGAGACGACTTACAAAATTGTTAAAAACATACTTCAGAGATGCTGAAACAAACAAAAAAAAGGCTTCTCTGTCATCACAGAATATGGAAAGGAGCCTCACAGCATGAAAGACAAGGTTTCTCCTCACTTCACTTGTGGTGTAGCTAGGATATACAGTGGGGATTTATTCCATGGTAGAGTAAAGGTATAAGGCAACCAGGTCTCTTTCTGTTTCTGTTGCATTTACCTAAAACACCATTTTATTGCTCAACTTGCTTTTAAGTACATTTTTTTCCCTTCATTAAAGAGATTCCATTTTACAGTTATCCAGAGACGGACAGCCCTCTGCAACTGTCACTCAAAGAGATTCTACCTTCACTTCAAACATTTTGCAAGAAAGAAGTGGCATTTTTAGGTGTGCCCAGAAGTTCAACAGTGGCTGGGCTCAGAGACGGGGAAAAAAAAAAGTTTTAGTCAGAGATCTTTTAAGTCTAAGTAACCACAATCAAACCTAGCTTTGCTCAAATAGAGTTTAAAATCAGAATTTATAATCATCAACAAACAAAAAATAGAAGTCTAAAAACTAAACCCTAGTGGGTAACTCTTTGGTTAGATTATGTAAGTATCAGCAAATTTTAAGTTTAGGACTCGAAACTGTTAATTCAATAAACTGCCGGTTAAAAGTAATCGGTTATTAATCTTAATAAAAATGCTCTGCATGTTTTTGTATACTGTTTTTTTTAATGTGCATGTACTCAAAGGGATGGTACAAACTTCTAACTTTCAAATAATAAATGAGTATGTATGCGCCTCTCCTCCCCACCCCCACCCTCCTTCCTCCCTTCCCGCCCCACCCCCAAGACTTAAGTGCTAAGGACTTGCACAGCTATTCCGCTGCCAAAGCCGGCCTTTCTCCTGGCCCAGGACAGACTGCTCTGCTCCCTGGCTCCATTCAGCCACCACCAGGTGACTTCCCACAGTGATCGGTGACCTGGGCTGTCCTGCCCTCTTCCGGCAGCAGCTCTTTCACCCTCTTGCCAATAGTGGGCTGCCAAATCAACCGCTCCAACTCTGGGGGCCCCCTTGGGCAGGAAGGAGGGCAGTAACTCCCAGTCCTTGCCAAGCCGTAGAGTAGAGAGGAAGGCTGTTCACTCTGCACAAAGGCATGGTCTTTCCTGGAGCCTGGCCCGGGATTCTTCTTCTACGGCTACCTGTTCACTTCCCCAAACTTGCCTCACTTAGAAATCACTGCATGGCCTCCTCCGGCTCCCAATTTGCAGGTCCAAAGTCTGGTCTTCCAGCGTCATCTTCTAGAAGGCTCCCCTTTCAAAGCGGCCCAGAAGACCGTGCACTGACCTTTAAAACACTCTTCCCAGATTGTGTTATCAGTTCTGATCTCTTCCCCCGCGCATGAGTCACAGAGGGGTCGGGGAGTTTTCAAGGAAATCTACACACTGGCCAGGACCCCCCCCCCCCAAAATCGGGTTCGGAACAATTCAGTCCTTCCCAGGTACTTGGTGATTTTGTGGCCACACAGCCCCGCCAGATCCATTCTAAAGGATCGAGGGGGCGTGTGGGGGTGGAGGGAGGGATGGTTCGAGGCAGGGGCCGGGCGGGGCGTGGGCTGGGGTGGGCTGTGTGGGAGCCTCTGGGTTGTCTTGGTTAGTGGGGATTCAAAGACGACGACGAAGCCGAGGAGATCTGCAGCTGCAGGTTCGGGGCGGGATGGGGGGGATGGGGGTGCTTGGGTCAGACCCGGCTGGAGCTGGGGGACCGCGGCAGGGGATGGAGGCTGGGGGGAGGGGGTCATCCTGCGCGGGGAACGGGGAGGGTGGGGCTGGAGAGAAGCCGGGTTCGGGGGGGGGGGGGGCGCTCACTCCCTGCAGAAGACGTACTCGGTGTAGCTGGTCCAGATCTTGTCCTCGCTCTGGTCGGTGCTGCCCGCGAAGGCGCAGGTGCCCGTGGAGCTGCACGCCACCATGTGGAAGCCCGACTCGGACAGCTTGTCGAACGCCTGCTCCAGGAAGTTGAACTTGAGGTAATAGCGCGACGTGTAGCGCTCAGGGGGCCGGTCGGGGTCCCGGCTCTCGTTCAGGGTGTCCCCGAACACCTCCTTGGCCAGGGACGTCTTGCCGCAGACCGTGATGCGCGCCACCCGCCGGAACTTGGCGTCGGCCTGCGCGTCGCGCCCGATGGTGTAGGAGCCGCGGTAGCCGATGGTGATGTAGCCCGAGCGCCGGCTGCCGTCCAGCGACTGCGACGGCGTGAGCAGCGGACCCGCCGCGCCCCCGGACGGGCTGCGGCTCGCCAGCTCCAGCGTGGGCGACGGCGCCTCCGACTCGGCCGAGCCCAGCGGCAGCAGCTCGTCGCCCAGGGCGCCCTCCTGGGGGACCCCGCGCCGCAGATGCGGCGGCCCCGGGCCGGGCTGCTGGGGCGCGCCGAGGCGCCGCACGAGCTCGGGCAGCTCGAAGTACTCGGCCTCGCGCTGCAGCCGGCTGCGCTCGGGGAAGTAATCGGGCAGCACGAGCTGCAGGTCCCGCAGGTAATCCAGAATGTAGCGGAAGAGGAAGCCGTCCCGGTCCAGAAAGAAGCGGCCCTTGCTGTCCCGGGCCAGCTCCTGCGGCTGCTGCTGCGTGAACATGCGCCAGAGGAGCGAGTCGGGCACGGACACCACCGTGCAGCGCCGGGTCACATACACCTGGCCGCCCACGTTCAGCTCCACGATGTCGGGGAAGAGCGCGGGGTCGGCGGACGACGACGACGAGCCCGAGCCGCCGCCGCCGCCGCCCCCGTTGGGTAATCCACGTGTGCTGTCGGCCAGGGCCATGGCCCAGGGGGGTGTCCGGGCCGGGCCGGTGGTTGGCAGAGGGAGCGGGGTGCCGCCGCCGCCGTCTCTCGCTCAGCCCCGGCGCCCCGAGCCCCGCGCTGCAAGGCGCAGCGCTGCGCCCCCGCCGGCCCCGGCCTTGCGCTCTGCCCGCCTGGCCGGTCCGCGCGCTCCTGGCGAGTGCGGCTGGCGGCCGGCGCGCCGCTTAAGTAGAGCCGCGGGCTGGGGCGCCGCGGCGCGCAGGGGGCGGGGGCGGCCGGGGGCGGGGACTCGATTTGCATCTTGCAACGGCAGCCCGCGCGCCCGGCTGCTGGCTCCACCCCGGCTCGCGCGCGCGCCCCAGGGGGACCCGACAGTCCCCCGACCCCACAACCCCCTTCCCTGCATCCCGGCTCTCCGGCCCGCTGTCCACACTCTTTGCGCTTCCACCCAACTTCCCAAGCGCACAGTGCCCCGCGTCGGGCCACTTTGGAGAGGTGGGGGCGTGGGTAAAGCGGGGTGGGGATGGAGGTGAAAGGGGGGTTTAGATATGTGTCCCCGCCCCCCCCAGCCCTACTAGGTGCTGGGGAGACAGCGCCCTGAGCGCGAATTCTCAGATTCAGCCTGCTTTAGCCGTCGCGCGGCGGTGGGCGTGTAAGCTGAAAGTTTGGAGTGGGGTGCAAAACAAATTTTTTTTGTGTGTGTGTGTTGCCCCAGGCTGGGCTCATATGCTAAGGCAACTCGTCCGCGCTCCGCTGTAGGGCGCGCTCGGCTCCGAAGGTTATCTCTCTGGGTAAAGAGGCGGACTCAACGGGTTGGGGGCCTTGAAACGAGGAGGAAATGAGCTGAAATTTTCAATCGTGGGTTCTGGGGGTGACCCAGGCATGACGCGGCTGAAGGATTCTGGTGGGGCCAGAAGCCTGCTCCAGTCTCCGGGCCTTTCCAGCCCTTGGTGACGCTGGACGTACAGGGACCTAAAAAATTTTTAAAGAATCTCCAGGCCCCGCCCGTTTGACCTGCCAGCTTCCCACTATTCCTCCAGTGCTCCATCACCATCCGGCTAAGCCCTTCCCAGAAGCCGCCAAGTCTTGGTCTGTCTCCGTTACTCTGGAGGATCTTCTAAGTCCTACTCCCTCCACTTTAATTCCAGAGGCCTTCTCAGCCGTCCCCCCAGCCCCTCCCCCCCAAGGAAGGTTTCCCAGGAGAATGGGGCTTCTGGATTTTTCCCCAGCTCCTGCCCGGCCCAGAGCATGGGTCTTTCAGAACCTTATGAAATGTTCTATTTGCCTCTCTGACTTGGGCTTTAGGAATAAGATCATGCACGTGATTATAAAATAAAGTGCTGCTTCTAGGTGCTACAGAGAGGGGGTAGAAGCGAGGGTGTGCCTGGGAAGATAGTTGCAGGGCTGGGTCGTTTGAGGGAGCTTGATGCTTGGCACACAGCCGGGACCCCTGAACAGCGCTGAGTGTAGCCCACCGCACCCACCCCGCCCTCACCCAAAGGTGGTGTGGCGAGTTGAGAAAGCTTCGGCTCAGGGGGATGTTTTGCCGTGCACCCGCGCCAGCGCCCTGCAAGCCATTGAAGAATGCCAGGTCGAGTTTCCAGGCGCTTTCCCAGTCCCCTGATTAGCAGCGGGGTCAGCAGTCCGGGCCCCCGCCGGATCAGCTGGATTTCCGACCGGCTGTCAGCATAAAGCAAGGAAGATCTTGTTCTTGATAATGATGTTTACCCCTTTGTGTAACTGCCCAGTGAGCTTTACAGTCTCCTCACGGATAAGTGTCATTTTTACTTGGAAATGTTGCTGTCGGCCGAACAATTATCTCACTCGTGTCCTGTCCCTGTGCTGAAATAAGATCAAACCCCAAACTGGCTCACTTAATTGCAAGCACAGAGTTTGATATGAATATATTTGACCACTCTTTTTTTTTAAATTTTCCCCCTGTTTTCTGTTGCTTGTTCTTAGGATAAATAATGGATGACACAAAAAGTTCCAAGTTCCAAGGCTGAATTTCTGTTTTTGCTACTGTTACCAAGTGTCAAGGGAGGACAAAACCAGTCTCTTCTCTATAAATCCAAGAAAAGCCTGCTTTGTATAAATTCTACTCATACTTTTGTATCACTACTTTGTTCACTGTATCAGCAAAATCTTGTCAATCCAACTTCTGCAAGATTTTCAAAGGCTAAAAACTTCCCTCCCATGACCCTGGACCAAGCCAGGGTTGTCGCCTGCCTGGATGGTGGCACTGATCTCCTAAATGTGAGCCCCTTTTTCTTCTACAGTCACGTATCACCACAAGGAGGAACCTGTTAGGACCTAAGGCAGGCAGGTCTGCACCAAGGCCCTCTGTCACTTCCCACCTCACCAAAGAGTAGAAAGCAATGTTTTAGTGGCCAAGCTGGGAGCTGACCCACTTGTGTCCAGGTCTTGCCACATTCCCCCTTAATAGCTTTCACCACCAACACCTAACATCAGTATTCCACTAGACTTTTGCCTGCCTGCCTGCTTGCCTGCCTGCCTTCCCTCCTTCTTTTCTCTTTTCTCTCCCACACTGAGCAGTGCTCAGGGCTAACTTCCTACTCAGCCTTCACAGATCCCTCCTGATTGCTTGAAAGACCAAATTTGGTCCCAGGTATCTAACAGGAATCCACAGCATGTCAGGCAAGCACCCTACCTGATGTACTATCTCTACAACCCTCTTTTCACCTAAAGACTCGTCTCCCCTTCCCACTCTGATTTAACACGGCATATTCAGGTACCTTCCCTTCCTACCATCCTCAGGTCTCCAGATAGGTTCTTCTCTTGATTGCCCAGTTGAAAATAACACAGTCCATCCCAGCAGTTCCCCCATCCCTCCTTAGCTACATTATCTCTCCACCATCTAAGTCTCTGCATTAGAATGTAAACTTAAAGCATTCTGAGATTTGGGTTGCCCTGATCTGGTACATGCTGGTACATAGTACAGAACTGTCATATACTAGGCATTCAGTAAAACCCATGGCTCCCTCATCTGTTCCATAAATATTTCCAAAGTGCCTACCACTGTTTCAGCCAGCGTGTTAAAAAAGTATCACTTCTGCCCTCTGGGAGCTGAGAATCAGATCATCAATTTATAGATACACAAGTCTACTTTTGATAGACTTTAATACAACTGAGGAAATAAAATTATAAAAGGAGATACAGCAGGCCAGAGTGATAGTATAGCAGGTAGGGTGTTTGCCTTACACACAACCCACCTGGGTTCGTTCCCTGACCTTCCATATGGTCCATTCCCTTCGGAAGTGTCTGTCTACAAGAAAGAAAGTTTTTAGCAATTTTTTTTTTTTTGCAAAACAGTTTAGGTTCGTTCTGTCTAAAATGTCGTAATTCTAAAATAGGATTGGGACAGAACCACAAGGGCAAAATCCTAATAATATAATCCTAACTGCTGCTAGAATAACAATCTCAGACTTATTTGTTTATTTTTGGTTTGGGGATCATACCTGGTAATACTTAGAGGTTACTCCTGGCTCTGCACTCAGAAATCACTCCTGGTGGTGCCCAGGGGATCAGATATCAGATGGGGTGCGAGGGATTGAACCCAGGTCGGCCGCAAGAAACGCAAGCTTCTTACCCACTAAACAATCTCTCCAGCCCAAGCTCAGACTTCGAAAGCTCATATCTTGTTTAAAACTCTTAACTTGTTTTTGTATAGTCACTGTAGGTATAACCAATATGCACTCCAAGAAGTCTGACAGGGGACAGAGTGATAGTACAGTGTATAGGGTGTTTGCCTTGCATGCAGCAAGGAGTGATTCCTGAGTGCAGAGCCAGGAGTAACCCCTGAGTCTTGCAGGTGTGATGCAAAAAAGAAAAAAAAAAGTGAAGATTCAGGGTCTGGGAAGACCTCTCTGAAAGCAATGCTGGAGATGACTAATAGGGAAGAAAGAGCTATAGGGTCTTAAGAGCATTCCAGGAAGTGGAGAGCACTAGTTTGAAGGGTCTGGATCAGGGTACACCTTGCAGTAGAATTTTATCTGTTACAGCATCTGCTTTCATCCCTGGACTCTCCAAAGTATCAGTATAAGTTCTAATAGAAAAGACATTTCATGCTTAGACACAGTCAGAAACAACCTACTTGATCTCCCACTTGACATATTACATCAGTAGAAGCCTGTCTACTGCAAGACGCCATCGGTATTTCCTTCTGGAGACCCAAGTTGTGCTTGAGAGATATTATCATTCATGAAAGAGATGACAGGAGACTGAAAGAATGATTTTTTTTTCTGGTTTATTGTGTGTGTTCTCTTTCTTGCCTATCGATTGGGTCATGAAATTCAAGAGGACATGTGATTAGAAAACTTTCACACTGGGCCTTAAGATTTCTTGGAAATGAGAGTCATAATCCTTTAACTTCTCTCGGTGTCAAATATTCATCATTGTCAGGGTAGGGAGAGGATATGGGAAACCTCTGGCCTATGTTTTGTTTCTGTACAGATGCAAGTGCTGAATGCATTAATGTTTTTCGTTCCTCTCCAACTGGCTCTTTTTTCTTAAAGTTATGAGACAGTGGATCTTGAAAGCACTTCTTATATCCTAAAATGTAAGGTCTTAGAAATACCTCTGGGCCTCCCATTGCTTGAGAATTTGTTATCTGCTGACACCCCGCCTGCTACCTTCCCTTCCAGTCAGCTTCTCACCCTGGCACACCCTGAAACACTTAGAAACTACCCTGCACATTAAAGATTTGAGAAAGAAAGGCGGACTATTAAGAGGAATATAAAGTTAAAGGGAGAAGACAGAGTGAGGCGGAGAGAAGTGAGTGCCTCCGTGGACTGAATAAATCTCCTATATGCGAAAACCATCTGTAAGCAATAAAACAGCAAGTGTCAGAATCAGGTCTTCCCACCACCTATCAGGGGACCTGACACGCCTGCTCAATAAATGCTGGATGAATAAATGAATGGTAACACATTAAAATGAATGCTGTGAGGAAAAGAGAGAGGAGACAGAAGCAGAAAGTGTCCCAAACAAATGTTTCGTTCATTTGTCACCCTCCCATCTGTATGAATCTTTTTCTAAATGCAGGATTTAAAAGCTGTTGAGTGGAAGGAAAGATGAATTGGATACAGAGAGATTAAATAATGCTGAGTCAAATAAATCAGGAGATAAATCTTAATAAAGGTTTGG